TAGTGGCAAAACCTTAGAACTTTGTGTGGTTGCGAAGTTGGAGCAGCGCAAAAGAGTTGATGCCAATGGTGGGGGACAGCAGAAACCCACATCAGGGCACCTCTCTGCTCACTGCACAGTGCAAACCAAAACACTTTTGATTCAAGCTCAAAATAGTCCCCCCCCAACAGATGCCTCTCATGAACATTGCAGCGACATATTTATACTGCGCTAACTTGATGACAAATAACCCGAGGATTTGTCTGGTTCCTATTTGCTATTGTTTGCTCTTCAGCATGCAAAACTAGTTCCAGTCCGATTTATCGGCTCTCCAAGTAGAAGGCGGGGGGGGGAAGATTCTTATCTCCCATGTTAGCGAGCATGGGCACGTGAGGCGAGCAGAGGGCTTCTGACACATGGTCCACATCTGAGGCTTTTGCCATGAGTATCTTGATCACACAGCTTGTATAGCTGCAGAGAAAGCCTGACTGCTGTTTACTGGGTTGAGTAGGCAAATCCCTCGCATTATGCTCTGCAGGTGATGCATGCCACTGGACCTGTTGGTTAAAAAAGTGCAGCTGTGAGAACTATGCCCTGCAGAAGCAAGCGATAACAGACTTTTTTTTTTTTTTTTTTTGCATACCGATTTTAAAATCATTATGCATCATCACTAAGCTTTTAGCCAAACAACATCATGTAAAGATGATGTTGCTTGGCTAAAAGAGTTTTAACAAAATTAAACTTTGGACTTTTTGACCAGCCATTTTTGTTTAAATGATCTGCATTTAAACAAAAATACACATTGTCACATTTCAATTAAAAACATCAATGGATTTTACTGAGATTCTTTCATTTGACAAGCACCACAAATTATCACATGACTACACAATGGAAGGATAATAATGGATGGTTTTAAAATGTACTACCAACTAATTACCTTCTTAGGTTATTAGTCGCATGAATTTGTATTTAAAATCATAGTTGGAAAATGTTGAAAGAAAACTATTTGATTGATTGTTGGAAAAAGAAAAACTATATAAAGGGGTATTCTGATGTGGTGAAGCAGAAACTAATATTTTTGGTACCCCCACAGTGGAACATGGTGGTGGCAGCATTATGCTGTGATTGAGGTGGACCTCAAGAAACCTCATAGGGGTTTCAAAAGAGTCAAGCCTGAGGCACAGGTTCATCTAGTGCAAGGTGTCTAAACAAACAGCCAGAGTCCAGAACAATAGTTTGGGTCAAAGCATATTTATGAGTTGGAATAGCCTAGTCAAAATATAGCTGAGAACCTGTTGCCAAACTTAAAAAGTGATATTCACACGACGTCTCCATGCAGTGTGTCGCTGAGCCTGAGAGTATTTGCAAAAATGAGAGAGCAAACACTTCAGTCTCTAGATGTGCCAAGACATACCTCAAAAGATTTTCAGCTCTACTTGCAGCAAAAGGTGATTCTACAAAGTACTGAGTCAGACGAGCTGAGTGCAAACACATAATAGTGTTTTTTAAGTTTCTATTTAAATGAGCTGTTCTTTCATATAGATTCAAAGCAAAATGAAATGTTGTTTATGGATGTCATTCTTTTTCAAAGCAATTCAGATATTTTTATTTGAATACTTAAGAGTTAGAAGTGTCAAATGCAGAAAGTTATGCTTCATCCTAATTTTCTTTCCTTTCTGATATGGCCTAAAGTTAAAAACCTGTCTCAAAGCTGCGAGCACAGCATCATTTTCCCTGTCAATCTCCAGTCAATCTGCTGCCACCAATAAGCACACCCCCTAATTAACTAAAATAGCATTCCATCAATAGCCATAACTAGCCAGTGCAGGAATTGATGGGAGCAAGGCTTGAATTGACTTACAAATGCCTGACAGAGACATTTCACAGACAGGTAAAGAGTTTATAGTTTCTGAAGCCAATTGACTAAAAGAGCCCCGATTCTGCAAAGTGCAGTTTATGGTTTGTATTTTTCTGGGAGCTGCATTGTCTCAACAGATCAATTGCCACTCCACCTACATCTTTGAGGGAAACGGTTTGCATTTAGAAAGTCATTATGTTGTCAATTGAACATCCTCCCCTCCCACGCTTTGCGTTGGGGATGTGCCTAACGAAGTTAGCAGTCATTACAGTCGCTGAATATACTAATTTGGTGATGTTTCCTTTCTCTATCAAGTCCTGTTAGGGCTGAGGAGTCTCACCAGACAATCTCCTCCATTCAGGAGCGGTGCCACCAAGTCTGTCCTTGCTTATCATTAACAATCTGCAAATAAACAGGACAGCATACATTACATCACTTGCAACTCCGTGATCAATTCCAGGAATGTCTTTGAAGCTGTGCTTAATGAACATACACAGTGTGGCTGTTGTGTGCAGTCAGGGCATGAAAGTCCCACAACCAAACACCTCAATGCATTTCGTTTTTCATTTATAAAACTATTGCTTGCTCAAATAATGTCAACTGCACATATAGGTTGTTTGAATTAGATTCAGAAGAAGGCTTTTTCACCCAAATTCCTTTACAATGCAGCATATCTGTAGATCTGTGCACCACCAAAGGTTACCAACCTCCTGCCACTTGTGTGGACAGGGCAGATTTAAAACACAGGTTGTCACTCGGTACTTTTAGAAATGCACCCACGCACACGGAGTGAGAAATTTCAGACCCCGTCCAGTCAAATCTATTCCCCTCTACTTTGATTTTGATATGCATGATCTGAGTGGATGCATAAAAAGGGAAGCGCTGACAAAGTTTGCTTCATCAATCAGTCATGTCAGCTCGGACCTTTTTATAGCCTCTCCAAAGTCCCTGGGAGCCCTAACCCTGTAAAAGTTTATATAGTGTATTGACCATCTCCTACTTGCTTAGCTAATGAAGCCAGCTCAAGAGAGCCTGAGTGTCAACACAGCTTCCTATTTGATGACACCTTCCACTAAATTGAAATGTGCTTCTAATGGGGCAGAGTGTTTAAAGAAGAGTAAAGCCCACAATTTGACACAACCCTGACCCCACTCACCTAAAAGGAAGGGGTTAGGGCTAGGGTTTAATGCCATGTGAAGGTTTACTGGCTCTCTGGCTGCTGTAGTTTGGAGACATTTTTTTTTCCATTTACTCTGATGCTGCTGCAGCTTTTCAACAGCGTTGCATTTGTTTTGTTGTATCAAATCAATAGCACACAGCACATGCCAGATCCCCTTGCCACCCCACCCAAGGAGCGCCTTGGGGGATACTGTACGTGCATCCGCACACACGCACCGTGTCTACGCACAGCAAGGCACGGTTACACTTTATTTCGACATACTCAGACCCAACTCGAATTAACGCAAACCCGCAGAACTCCTCCAAACAATACTTTTTTGAGAGCAACTGGTGTGAAATTCAGCTGTAGCTCTGCCGTTATCGCCGCCCAAGTTGAAGCCCGAGGCTGCAACTGACATGTTCAAACTTCAAGCTTCAAAACAATATAGGCTTCCGTTATTGTTTTATGTGCAACAAGTTCATCACACGTTTTAATAGCTGACGTGAGAATGAATGCGGCAAAAAAAAGAAAAGAAAAAACGCCTCCACATAAAAAGAAGAATATATCGTCCTTTTTTATCGGTTTTCAGGTGAAGTCCCCTCACGTTCTCACTCACCCACCTTCCACACTCTCTGAGGACTTTGAAACCCACGGCTGGATCCACAGAGACAGACAAGAGACTGGGAATTGATGACCAATCTTTCACCCTCCGCTGCTCTCCAGTTTGCTCGTGAATTTGTAGCAAAATTACATTTTGCAGACAAACGCTTTATTATTTCATGGAATAATGATAATAATAAGATGCGTCCTTTTTTTTTATCAGTGATTACATCCTGCTTAGTCCATATCCATGGCCAAAATGGACTCACTGCAACCCAGATGGTGAGGGGATTACATATGATAGTGGATGGAAAAACAGATTATGACAGTTATGGCCAGCTTCTGAAATAAAATAAAAAAAATAATAATAATTAATAAATACACTCAAGCATCCCGTGACACAGAGACTGAAGCTGTTTCCCTGAGACAGTCCTAACCGGAAAGCGAGGCTATATTTAAACACTCAATTGATTGGAGCAACTCGAAACAATTGACGTTTTTAAAGAATAACTGATGATCTAGAAACACAAGTAAACACATCACTGAACTCTGCTCCGATTCAGGATAACGCGTAAAATTTCAGCAAGTTCTGCAAAACAAAACAAAACAATATATATTTATATTGTAATTCAAAATTAGACATCAGAAATTGAAAAGAAAAACAGCATAAGTAATTCTGCAGATCATCGTATTAGGCAAATAAATGCGCATAAAATATATTTTAAAAAAGGAAAAACTAAGCTGAAAATATTTTTCAAAAATACACAAAGTAATTTAAAGTATAAACTAAAGCAAACCATTGCGAGGAGTGTAAAGCGATTCTTTGTTATTTTATTAATAAATCAAATAATAAATATAAATTGCATATTTATGTCTGATTTCTAAAGAAGAAATACAGCAGGATATTTTCATGTAAGTTGGCAAAACTTGCAACAACAACAAAAAAATAAGCACAGATCTGTTTTCTAGTCGTTTAAAGCACAAGGGAACGGAACAGAGACAGGGAGTCAGCACGCAGTCAGCAGCGCTGCAGATCGGGAACAACTCCCCGCCTCACAGAGCCGCTCTGCCGGGTCTCGACTCTCACAGACCGGCCGATCGCGCAGCGTCTGCAGCTAACGATGTTGACATATTCACACAACACCCGGCCGAGCCAGGGGGTTGGCGTTTCGCGGCGAAGCCCCTCTTTTTTCCCGAGTTCCAAACACCTTTTTATAAGTCTGAAAGTCTGTCCCCTCCACCCGACCTGTCAAAACCACGCCCACGCAGCCACCCAATTGGTCCGAAAGCGTCAAAGAGCCAATCAAACGGAGCGCTGCTGGTTGTAAGGCGCAACACATCCACACTGTATGAAGCCCTATGGGCCACAGAGGCGCTAGGAAAATCACGGAGCTGGGACCTTACCTCCTTTCTCTCTCTCGCTCTCTCTCTCTCTCTCCGTCGGACTCCTGTCTCTCTGCACACGTCTTTCTCTCCTGAAAAGTGTGTGTGCGCCAAAGGAGAGCGCAGGAATAAAGCGTGTGTGTGTGTGCGTGTGTGTGAGGGTGCATGTCCGGAGCGAGTAAAGGCAAGAGGGGGGGATTATTCGGCGCTATCGAAATATTTCAACACGTCGCGCTCTCGCTGCAGGACTGAAGCCAATAAGAAGGAGCCCATTTTAACAGGAATGCCGATATTGTAAACAGCAGCGGAGGAAGAAAGGAGAAAGAATGCGCCGCGGTCAATTAAGAGACTCACCCCTGTTGGTTTGATTCGAACTTAATGTCCGAAAAGGAGCAGAGAGGTGTCCCGACGCGCGTCAGCCTGCGGAGAAAATCGGCGTCGCAGCGCTCCTGAAGATTAATGGAGATCATTTTTGCTGTTTTGCTTTGCGGACTTTTGATAAAAACTTAACAAAAGGACAGCAGAGATTTTGCCTGAAACTCGTGACAAATTGTGGATGTTTGTCGGCGTCTTGCTGAAGGAGGAGTTCTAATTTCTTACGTCTTTTATTTTTGTATATATATACATATATACAAATATATATATTTCTGTTTCAACTTGCTGCTCCTATCACTCAAAGTACGATATTTCAAGAAATATCGCCGTTCTCTGTACCAACCCTATTTGCTGCCTGCACTTGGATGAACTTCCTGATGAGAGATCCAGTCATACAGGGATCAAGTATGGCATATCATCCGTTTATACCTCACCGGGGTCCGGAATTTGCCATGAGCGCGATGCTGGGTCACCAGCCGCCTTTCTTCCCGGCCTTGGCGCTCCCTCCCAGCGGCTCCCTGTCCCTCCCGGGCGCCCTGGGGAAGCCGATTATGGACCAGCTGATGGGAGCCGCTGACACCGGCCTGCACTTCTCTTCGCTCGGGCACCAAGCCGCAGCCGCGCACCTAAGGCCTCTGAAGACTCTGGAGCCCGAGGAGGAGGTGGAGGATGACCCCAAAGTTCACCTGGAAGCCAAGGAGCTCTGGGAACTCTTCCACAAAAAAGGCACGGAGATGGTGATCACTAAATCTGGAAGGTGCAAAATTATTATTATTATTATTATTATTATTATTATTATTATTATTATTATTATTATTATTATTATTATTATTATTAAAGCTCATATTTCTCACTATATTTTAAAGACGTAATGCACCTTAATTTTTTTTTATTATTATTTTTTGTTACAGAATTTAAACTCCTGTAATAGCCACACAAATGACGTCCAATCACGACCTTTAGATTGTTTTCACTATAACCTCAGACAATCACGTCTCCAAATGATAAGCTTTGACATTTGTTTTGGTCCCCAGTAAAACAGCATCTTAACTAATGACTGAAGTGGGAGATTTTTAGTTTGCTCACAAAAAAACTTTGTTCATAATGGCAAATATTTATTAAAAATGTATACATGCACGCGACTCGGATGGAATTCATGTGCAATCACTTTCAGTTCAATTTATGGAAAAACTGCATTCTGTCTGCACAATGTCTTGCGCAACTCTTCATTTAAGTGCAAATGTTTTTTTTTTGTGCGTCAAACTCCAGCAGAATCTTCTTCGTCATCGTGGCGTGACAGCGTGCAAAAGCTTTGTGTTTCTCCGTGTGTGTAGGCCTGGAGAGGCTATAAAAATCAAAGCAACATTCCCTCAGTATTTAAATTTCTGTTGTGGGTATGTTGTGCTCTGAGAAAGGATGAATTCATTAAGAGTTATGACAGCGCAGGACTTTTTTCTTTCTTTTTTATTTACGCTTATAGATTTGGTTCAGACTTGCAAAATTGAAAGGAAGTCACGTGCAAAAACGAAATCCAATTTATGTGATTAGATATGCTTCTATATTTATATTTACATTTCTAATAGCTTTTGTTTATTCCCCAGACGGATGTTTCCTCCGTTCAAAGTGAGGTGCACTGGTCTGGACAAGAAGGCCAAGTATATCCTCTTGATGGACATCGTCGCGGCTGACGACTGCAGGTACAAGTTCCACAACTCCCGCTGGATGGTGGCGGGGAAGGCCGACCCCGAGATGCCAAAGAGGATGTACATCCACCCGGACAGCCCCGCCACGGGTGAACAGTGGATGTCGAAAGTGGTGAACTTCCACAAGCTCAAGCTGACAAACAACATCTCCGACAAGCATGGATTTGTAAGTTCAACTAATGTATGTCAATTTTTACTATTTATCAAATTACTCATTTTTTCTTCTTTTTTTTTTAAATGCGCGTGTTTTAGAATGCATAAAAAAATCATGTAAACTTTTATAACATGCCTTAACATTTCTTGATTTGTAATATTTTCTGTTTATAATATTTTATTAATTTGAATTTGAAAAAATTGAATTTCACTGAATATGTCGGGCTTCGAAAGGAATCACTTTTCAAGTCCTTATTTTCACCGAATGCGCTCATTCTTTTTATTTTCGCAAAACTGAGATTTTGCTCAACTTCCTCTGCACAGATTCTCCTCACTATGTGTGTGCTTGTGTGTCTGTGCGTGTGCGTGCGTGTGTGCGTGCATGCGTGCCTGTGTATGTTATTTTTGGTTTTGCAGACCATACTTAATTCCATGCACAAATATCAGCCTCGTTTTCATATCGTGAGGGCCAACGACATCCTCAAGCTCCCGTATAGCACTTTCAGGACCTACGTGTTCCCCGAAACGGACTTCATAGCCGTGACTGCTTACCAAAATGACAAGGTAAGATCAGCAGGTTCTCTTGTCTTATTATTAGTATTATTATTTAGTTAGTTAGTTATTCAGTTGTCGTTGCACATTCCCGTTCAGATTATTAAAGTGTGTCTTCCGATTATCCAGTGCTTGTCAGACGAGCTTTCTTTCTCGCTTTGGCTTTGTTGTCATAAAATATGGAAGACGACAGATTTGTTTGATGCAGAGAGCTGTGTAGTTGTGCGCATATGTGTGTGTGAGAGTGTGTGTCTGTGGGTTGGGGGGAAAATGTAACGTGGAGGGGTGCAGTTTGTGGTAGGAAAGTAATAATTCTGAGGAATGTTATATACAGGTTACCTTTCATTTATTTAATCACGTGGAAAGGATTTGGCTGTGGCTCAGCCTTTTTCTCGCTCTGTTAGCGTATTTAGGCGTGCGTGTGTGTGTGTGTGTGTGTGTGTGTGTGTGTGTGTGTGTGTGTGTGTGTGTGTGTGTGTGTGTGTGTGTGTGTGTGTGTGTGTGTGTGCAGAGCTAACAGGGCAAGGGGTTGGAAATGACTAAAAAGAAGAAAGGGGGGGACTTCAGTGGGGGAGAAGAAAAGGGAGAGGCACTTTTGACAGACCGTGCTGCATTGGTAACATTGTATGCTCAAAAAACACGCCGCGCAAAAACCAACCAGCATATCATCTCAGCAGTCTTGCGAATTGTTGGAAAACCTTTTGGCACCGCATCTGTGACCTCCTTTAACCAATAGCTGCGAGGGGGGGAATAATTTTTCATAAAAGCTACAAACACAAGGAGAAAGGGAAAAGAGGGCCAAACCATGCATTTTGTGCGCTTTTACGCCCGCATGTTCTTATATATTTGTTTCTTTTCTTTTATTCTGTCCTGCAAAAGCCGCCAAGGTTTTATGTCGTCCTAGGCACTACTTTTATTTATTTATTTATTTATTTATTTATTTATTTATTTATTTATTTATTTATTTATTTATTTATTTCTACTTTCCACTGTATGGAAGTTTGATCAACGCTGTTCACAAACACTTTCGGTGTGCATAAAAAAAAATTCCAGCTCAGACACAAGTAGCAAAAACTGTGAAATTATTTCTAAAAGGGTATAAACGATTGGTCCCTTCATATAACTTTTAAACCGCAAAGGTGTCCCTCAGAAAATGCAAATCAGGTGTAAATTCAGTTTCTTCTGCACCCCGTTCATTCCCCCCAGGTAAGCAGGGGAACTGTAAGCAGTCCCAAAGTACCTTATGCCTTCGGCCAATCGTGAATTCTGTCTGGTGTTGTTTTATTAAAGAGGTCGCTTTGTTTTCTATGTTAACATGAACACACGACTTCGCTTCTTGCAGATAACCCAGCTGAAAATCGACCATAACCCATTTGCCAAAGGATTCCGTGACACCGGCAATGGGAGACGAGAAAAAAGGTAAGCCAGGAGGGAAAATATACATTAATCAAAAAGAGAGGGAAAAAAAAGCAAAGACGCCTTACACTGAAAGAGAGAGGGGGATCATGGTGGATTAAACCATGCGTCTAAGCTTCCACATTAACCCCCCGGGGAGTCCCCGTCTTGTCTCACTTTCATTTTAAACGCTAATTCTGAACGTCTTAACCTCTGTAACACCGGGAAAGTAATATTTGCCCAAACAAGTTTCCTCTGGATCTGTGGGGTTTATCCTGATGCTGCTTCTGAGTGAGAGCCGTGTGACCGGCGCCACCTGTAATAACCTGGACACTTGTGCGCAGGAAACAGCTGGCTCTGCAGTCCATGCGATCCTACGAGGAGCAGCAGAAAAAGGAAAACGGCGCTTCGGATGACTCCTCCGGCGAGCAGGCTTCCTTTAAATGTTTCGGCCAGGCCTCATCCCCCGCCGTGTCCACAGTGGGGCCCCCCCACCTGAAAGGTAAGCCCCACCGCCACTCGCAGCTCTCGTCACAAGCCATAAAATTAGCAATACAGAGAGATTGATACTGTTTACTAATGCCTTGTCTTAATTAGTGACCAGGAGCTGATTGTAATTGCAACAGATACGTTTCATTATGCATTTATTGGAAATGTATATTGGATATGTATATATATATATATATATATATATATATATATATATATATATCAAATAACGTGTTTCAATTGATTTTAGACTGTTCTGCAAAAATCCATTTAAAAAAATTAGTATTTTACCTTGTTAAAAATAGCATTATGCTCAGGGCATAATAGTGTGTTCACTGATAAATATTCTTTTTTTTTTCTTCTTTTTTTGTGGTGGGACAGACAGCCCTAAGTGTAAAGCATATTTTTATAATTATGAAATAAAGAGCGGAACAATAATTTGC